CACACACACACACGCACACACACACGCACACACACACACACACACACACACACACACACACACACACAAAAAACGCAACATCAGAAGATATCCGGGAAAAATGGATATATTTTAGAGAATATAATGGATAAACTTTACAGATAATGTAATAATAATGTAACGTAAAACTATTAAATCATTTACAAAAGCTCTTATTTACTGAGAATAATCCATGTGTGTGCATTAAAAGGCAAAATAAAATTTAAATTAACTTGATGACTTTTAAATTACCATTTTGTTGAATTACCATTGTGTATGAAATGTGCTATATAAATAAACTTGCCTTGCCTTGCCTTAAACTATTCCTTTAAAGCAAGACATTACAGGTGAATAGTGTAAAAAAAAAAAAAATATTACGCATATTTTCATCAGACATGATCTAATTAAATATGTATGAATTTGCATACATTAAATTAAATGATAAGACTAAATCAGAAAATACACAAAAAGCATAAATACAAAAGAGTAAAAAAATAAATAAAAAATAGCACAAATATAAACAGAGTTCAGATGCAAAAAATGCTGTCTGAAATGTCTAAAATTAGCATTTTTATCAGGCTCCTATAATTAGCTTCAGTTATTTCACTTTAATTGCATAGAAAAGGACCTATACATTGCCATTAGTTAAATTACTGAACCTAAATATAGCAGCCTGATAAAAATGCTCATTTTAGACGAAAATTTCAGACGGCATTTAGAGGCTTTTGCATCTGAACTCTTCAAATATAGAGTAAACTGTAAATATCAGAGTTGTTACTAGCCGGGTTTCCATCTAAAGTTGCGAATTTAAGTTATGCGCAAAATTGGAATATCGCATAAAACATTTGGGATTAAGCACCGTTTCCATCCAACGAGTCAAAGAGAACAAAATTGTCACTTCCTGATAAACTGGCACTAAATATCACCAAGAAAAGTAGAAGAAGCCACTGAATATAATAATTTTGATATAATAAATGACTTTCACCTTAGAGAGAGCAGACGGAACAATAATTAAATAATAATTAAAAAATTAAAATAATGAATTGCAGCTAAATAGAAATCTAATGATCTAATTAAATATCCACTAATGTGCATGCATTTCAAGAAGATTGTGGACATTGGATAAAGCTAGATTTCAAATTCTTGTTTGATTGTGTCGTCATATTAGAGTTAAAGGTTTTTCTTTTTAATCATAAATCACAAAATATACTGTCAATAAACAGAAACAAAAACCATAGGAATAAAATGTTAAGCATATATCAAACGAATGTTATATGAATAAACCCCCCAGTAAAAACCTTCAGTATATAGATAGGAATAAAACAGTAAGTTTGGTGTATATAAGTGGAAAAACAAACATTTTAAGACATGTATTGCAAATTAAATCTACAGACACAAAATAAATAAAGTGCAATAAAACAAACAACTAAAAGTCTATTTTGCATGCTGCCCTTCCACTAGTCTGAAGACATGTTATGAAAACCTAAATAGCCTATAATCTCAAAAAAACAATGCAACACATCAAATGTCTGAGACTAGCGCCATCTATTGGCCAAAAACAAAAGTCAGGAACGGGAGAAAAACAGCCAGCAGATCTGATTTGGCTGAGAGACTGTATAAAGTACAGCACGGTGAGTGAATGAACTGTAAAGCGTGAGCTTTATTTCCCACCTTCCTCCAGTGTGTCCGCGGCTCGGCTGATCTCAAGCTCCTTTAAGCACTTCATGGAGTTGTGGGAAAAGGTACCACCCCACTCCTGACTGATCTCTAAGATAGGACTATGACCATAAAACAGAAAAGCAAAATTACGAGAGAGATATTAACTCATCGTGAATGGTCGTTTAAAGGCACTCGCAACACCAAAGTCATGGGTTTGATGCACATGGAATGCATGAAGTGATATAAATGTATAATCTGAATGCAATGTAAGCCGATAAAAGACAAAAGCATTTGCCTATTAATGCACAAATGTAAAATAGCATCTTCTTAGCTTCATTCACTTCTGAATTTATAATACCATTTAAATTAAAATAATAATTTTATCAAAGGGGTCATATGATGCGATTTCAATTTTTCCTTTCTCTTTGGAGTGTTACAAGCTCTTGGTGTATAAAGAAGATCTGTAAAGTTGCAAAGACTAAAGTCTCAAATCCAAAGAGATATTCTTTATAAAAGTTAAGAGTCAGCCACACCTACCTAAAACGGCTCGTTCTAACACGCCCCCACATGTCTACGTCACTATGTGGGAAGATTTGCATAACGCCGCCCAAATGTTCACGCAAAGAAAGAAGGTGTAACTTTTATTCTCGCTGTAGTATTGTTGCTGCCGCCGCCATGTCGTGAAGACGCTGTGTGCTTCGTTGTGAAAGCGAAACTACTTTGTTTGGTCTTCCAAAAGAGGACGATATCCGCTTCCTCATGCCTAGAGCTGATCTGTGCTGGTTGCTGAGGAAATATATCAACTTTCACCGTGGACAAAGCGGAGTCCAGCCCGGCCTCAGCTCACTCTATCCCGGCCTCAGCGCACGCTAAGCCGAGGCTTTGGCTCACGCTAGCCCGGCCTCAGCTCACTCTATCCC